TCTTTCTTTCTTTCTTTCTTTCTTTCTTTCTTTCTTTCTTTCTTTCTCTCTTTCTTTCTTTCTTTCTCTCTTTCTTTCTTTCTTTCTTTCTCTCTTTCTTTCTCTCTTTCTTTCTCTCTCTCTCTTTCTTTCTCTCTCTTCTTTCTCTCTTTCTCTTTATTTATTTATTTATTTATTTGTCTTTTTTAATGTGCTTAGTTTGTTTGTTTTCTTTTATTTTAGATTCCTAAAAATAGACCTTTCACATCTTGAGGTCCCTGCACACCATAAAAAATATAATTAAAAGGCATGAGTTGAAATATGTCAACTAAGCCCTCATTGACTCAATCCCAAAGTCAGATGGGTTGGACCACATGATTGTCAGCAAAAGGTAGTGTAAATGTGGAGGCTTTTTGTCTGGTTACCAGGGTCAATGCACTTGTGTGTTTAGGACCCACTGTCAGAAACAATGTGAAGGTATTGAACTGAGTCTGGAAGTGATTTCTCTCTCCTCCTCTTTCCACTCCCTTATAATTCAAATGGGAACTGAGGTCAAGTGTGTATAATCCACCTATACAGTGATGGCAAAGTGAAATTGCTCTCACTACTCTTATTACTGCACTGGAACATTTTTGGAAAAGACAGGATCTTGCTTTTGGTCTCAACAAACCCCACAAATGTTATAAAAGGGATGAAAACTGAGAAGACTCTGTCCATTACACTGGTATAATTTTTAGTAAGAAATTAGTTAAATCCAACACTGCTCAGTCATGGAAATAAAATTCTTAGTCATTACAGACCTCATCTGGGTTTGGGCTACCAGTGAACACACTGAAGACTAATAGGATATTTATTCCAAGGAAAAAACAATTACAAAAAATTAGGTGATGAGGATGATAGTTATGACTTCCTATAAACATTCCGTCTCACCCCAAGTTAAATTTATGCAATAAGAGAATTCCTGAAAATGCATCTAAAGGTTTTCCATGGGGGCATAGTGGAAAATCCCATCTCCTTCTCACATCCATATAGCTGTACTTCCCTGCTTCAAACCTAGGATGCATCCTCCTTCAGACATCCACCTGCTCCAATATGGGGTCTTTCATGGTCTGTAGGTGAGTATCTGCTCCACCATGGACCTCCATGGGCTGCAGGGGGGCAGCTGCTTCACCATGGTCTTTACCATGGGCTGCAGAGGAACCTCTGTTCTGGCACCTGGAGCACCTCCTCACCGTCCTTCTGCACTGACCTTTCTGTCTGCAGAGTCGTTTCTTTCACATATTTTTACTCCTCTATCTGCTGCTGTTTCTGCAGCAGATTTTTTCCCCTTTAACTCTGTTCTCCCAAAGTTGCTCCCAAGGTTGCTGATGGACTCAGCCTTGGTCCATCTTGGAGCTGGCTGACATTGGCTCTGTCAGACATGGCAGAAGCTTCCAGAAGCTTCTCACAGAAGCCAACCCTGTAGCCTCTCTGCTACTAACATGACAATGCAAGCCCAAGACATGTTTTCACCTTCCTTCTGCCTCTTTCTCAGGTCTTTGTTATTCTATATTCCCTTTTCTTTCTTAGACCTAATTGAAAGATTAGCCTCTCTAACTTTCTTGTCTTTGTTTTCAGCTAATTTCCTCACGATAAAACACCACCCAGAAAAAGCAGGAAGAGAAGGCAAGTGCAAGGTGCAGTCCTGCAAGGAACGCATGGTCTAAGGCTGGGGCACCTGGGTACCACAAGTATGCATCTAGCAAAAGATGCTAGAAATAGTGTAGTTCAGACGCCTTCTAAAACAGTGAATGATAAATTTTTTTTAAGGTAGCTTTATCTTTTTTTTTTTTTTTTTAGTTAGGACAAGAATATGTTGTTATTGATCTGGTATTATTAATCTATTAATCTACTCTGTCTTACAAGACATCTAGGTGTTGCTGTGCTGTTAGCTGTTTGTGACCTTTTAGAGTCGGGACAAGTGAAATGTCTTACTCAGGGTGAAGAAATAACACCTTGATACAATTAGAGGCTGATAAAGAAGTAGTGCTAGTAGTTTTTTTCCCCCAAGAATTCCCAGCTGGACTCCTAAGGTTGTTTAGATGGTGGTTTTAACCTAAAGAGAAAAATTCCTATGAAAGAAACGCAGCTGAGTCTGGTGCGTTATCAACACAGGATATCTTCTTTGCGGTGTTGACATGCAGTAGAGCTGGATCATCACTTACCACCCAGGGCTTGCTGCAGAAGTTGTAGATGGAGTAGAGGGAGTTGACTGTGTGGATGCCACCATACTGGAGGCCAATGATGAGGCTGCGGAAGTCTTCTCCCAGGGCCATGCTGTAGGCATGCTGCCGAATCAGGACGAAGTCCGGCTTGAAGGACCTGGAAGAAATGAGGGGAGTGATGTTTTACTTTGAAATGCTTAGCAACACTTCCAGCCTCTCCTTGTTTCTTTTAGATCCTTCCCCTTTCTTTTCACTAACACATGTTGTTCTTCTCTGGGTCACTCCTCATGGGTTGCTTGTGTTAGAAGGTAACAAACAAAACCAAACCAAACTCCTAGCCATTAAAAAAAAAGAAAAATCCAACATAGCTGCAAGTGTGAGAGCATAGAAACAGGCCAAACAGATTTTCTGCAGTTTTCTTGTCACTCAGACATGCGTAGGAATGAGCCACAACTGGAGCCAAGGGTCATAAATTCACTGATGGGGGGATTCTCTTTTCTTTCTAAAAGCTTGGCCACAGTTGGCAAGATCATTGCAATGTGCAAAGCAGATGAGAGAGCAAGTTTGTTTCCTGATGATTGAACTCGATATTGAAGCAATGCCCAGTGGGTGGGAAGATCATAAGGGATTTCAAAAAGCTATTGTATCTTCATTGACATACATTCCCCCTTTAATCAGTTTAGTACGTATGCAGCACATCTCAAGCTCTTATGGATATGAGTCAACAAGCGAAGGGCAGGCATGGTAATGTAATTAATCAAACGAGCAGAGCCCCTCATACAGTGCTGTGACTCATGGCATGGACTTCCAGAATATTATTTAGCAAGATTAGAGCTGGGACTCCTATGGTTCAACAGCAGCAGCTCTCAGCAAATGCACAGAAAAGTGAGGCCCTTTCTAGGTAAACCAACAGGCAACAGATTATCTTTCAAGCAGGCAGATTTGATTCCTTGCTGACGCTGTATCTTTGGAGCCATTCAAAAATCTCTGGAAATAGTCTCTGGAAAGAAGCTGTTCCCAAAATGGTGCTCAGCAGTTCATTCTCGAAGGCATGGAAGGGGCTTTTCCACTGAAATGGGATTATTTTATACATTAACAGAGGTTCCGTCAAGGACATTGGAAAAATTTCCATGTTGTATTAAAGATTTTCAGAGAAATGAGCTCTGTAACCAGGTTCCATTACCTCACTATCCTTGAACATTTTCCTTGCTAAGAGACTATAATTTCTATCATTTGGATGTATGAGCTGGAAATACTTTGGATTTATAGCCCCTATTTATATTTCCATCATTCAGGGAGGGAAATCCGAGATTGTGATTCTGGGCCACATTGTGGCAACAAACACTGTACACAAACCCCAGCACAGCTTTGTTGTTTCAAAGCTGTTCATTTTGTTTGTTGGCCTTGGACTTTTGTTATTGCTCACCCGAGACATGGTGAAGAGCATGCTCAGCTTTTGTGATGCAAGAGGCCAAGCTTTGGAAATGTTGTGATTCCCTCCCGTGGAGTTTTTTTAAACGCGAGCATGTTCCCTAATGTACTTGGCACCAAAGGTGGTGCTTTCCTCCAGCAGTGAGATGAATAATGAGCATCAGGAGGCCTGTGCTATCACTGTGCAGCTGATTTATGGACCTCCCTGGTGTCAATGGGGATGAGGGAAGTGGTGATTCCCTGCTGAGAAACAGCAAGAGAATACAAATTTTGGAAAGTTTGAGCTGCTCCATTCTGCTGGACTTGCTGTGTAGAAAGTATCCTGGAGGCAGGCAAGGGTCCTCAGGAAGGATTAACCAGCTTCTTATAATCATGGCTCAATGTCTGTGCTGAGTTACTGAGCAGTTGTGGTACCTGGAGGACTGGGAGCTCATCTTTCCTCATCCAGCTTTCTGAGTGTATGAGGAAAAAACGGTCCCTGTTAGAGGACAAGTCTTTCCCCAGACTTGACTTGTGGAACAGCATGTACTGCGGTTTCGCAGGAGTGCTTCAGACCATTGGTCTGGCCTCCTCAGAGGAAGCAGCACTACTTGCCCCTGAACCTCCTTTCCAACAGCCTGGATGGGGATGTGGTGCTGTGGTGGGGAGGAAGGATGCAATGAGTGTGGCCAGCTTTGTGGGGAAGACACACAGTGGCTGGGAAACTGCCTTCAGTGTCTTTATTTCTGCCAGGCAAAAACTTAGGAAAAAAAGCTCTTGTCTTTTCAGGTCCTAGCAAAGGAAGAGTTTCTCCACTTAGAAGATGAACATGAGAATAGAGAACTAACATGGAAAAACCTATTCTCAAACTCTGTGTCCTGTAGGAAGACAGGGCACTCTCTTGTGCAGCAGATGAGGAGTGATTCTCTAAAGTGAAGGTGGACACTGAATTCCTGTTTTGAGCTGTGAAACAATGTGAATGTTCCCATGGATACTGAGAACAAGGCAGTGGAGTGCCAGACCTGGGACTGACTATGAATAAGCATCAGCTGGAGAGCCCCAGATCCTGTAACGCAGAAACAGAAATCAGTGGCAAAATGAGAGGCGAGGGGCTAGGAAGGATAGCAGGCAGTAAAAGGGAAATAAATAGTCATGGTAGGAGTGGTGGCATGAAAACTGATTAACTAGAGATACCATTGATCTGGTGAGAAAAGAGCTTATTTGCTTCACATGAGGATTCTTGTTTTTTTGGTAGAAGATTACTTTTGCAAGCTACTGCTCATTCTCTAAGTGTAAAGCTTAAGCTAACAGAGCAAGCCTTGGATTTGGAACAGCTAGTAGCATAGATGTTTTCTTTGCTGGTTCAAGCCAATAACACCTCCCATGTCAAAGTTGAAATCCCTGGCAGACAGATGGGTTAGGCAGAAGTCACACATTTGAAACACCATTGCTAAAACCTTTGGATGAGCCAAACTCAGTAGCACCTACTGTACTGAGGTCTCTAAGCACCTGTCTAGTAGGACGAGGGGAGCTATGGCAGGAGCAGGTACCTTTGCTCTCCATTGCCTCCATGTCTTCCCTCACTCCACCTAAACCTTCCAACCGGTGTTCAGATGACCATGAGTGGTCTTGAATAAAACTGTACCTATTCCTTGCTAAAGACATATCATGGGAATGGGTTTGGTCAAAAAAGGAATACAGGAGACTCCATTCAAACATCTAGTGGGCAGGGAGATGGGATAGGTAAATAGAACTGAAAGTAAACCACAGGTTTAAAACATATCACTAGTAATCTGTGCTCTTCATGTGGTGCAGTGCTGTTTCTGGACTGTGTAGAATCTGCCTGAAGTCTTGAATCTTCCTGAGCATAGCTGCCAGATGGATGATACTCCTGGGAGAAAGCTGGAGCCCATCTTCAGCCACAAACAAAAAAGAAGCCCTTTTCAGACCTCAAGAGCTCAGTTATCATTTGAGTTTGGCTTCCAGCACTACCTGGCAAAATGAAGATCACTAAAATGTACGTAGTACCTTCTCAGAGTGGCTTACAGACAGAAGAATCCTTCGTTTAAAAGAAACAAACAAACAAAGAAAAAGCCAGGACACTGGAAAAAAAAAATTTCAGATTGAAATAACCAGTGAAATTTCATTTTCCTCTGGAATGAAAAGGTACTTTTCTTTCAGCTCACGTTGCCACAAGCAGTGGCCTCTGCCAAACACGACATGAGCCTTTCAGTGCTCCGAGTGGTGAATAAATGAACCAGACACCCCCAGAGTGAAGCAGCCCCCCACAGGTCCCTGTGGCTTTCCTCCCTTTGCAGTAAGTTGCCTCCTTCTCCCAGGTGCTAGCCAAGGCCCATGGCATTCGCTCAGCCTACCTCTGCCTAGTGTCTGGCTGGGAAGCTGCTAGTGCTGCCAGTCCTGAGCCTGGATTGGATATTGCAGTGCAGGATGCTTATCTGCATTTAACTAACTCTTTTTCAACTTGTTCCAATGTCTTTTAGCAGTCTTTTTTCTTTCTTAGTGGTAAAACTATATTTTCAGAGACAAACCTAAGTATAAAGCCTGGACCCAAAATGTCTAATAGGAAGAGATCCAACTGTAGAATATAACTTCCTAGGCTGGACCCATCTACCCTTAAATCTGTGACAGCATTAGCTGTCTTGGAAATAGTTTTGTCAGAAATGGGGAAATATAACACAATTTAAGGGATTCTGATGTTAAATATGGAAGTCAAACATCTCAGAAGCAGCAGTAGCTGTTCTGGTGACCATGTGTCTAACTTCTCTCATTATGAGAAGCGGATTAGCTCTGAAAAGATCATCAATAACATTTCTGTGCAGAAAGCAGAGCCCTGGACTGCTTTGTGGTAGAGAAGATGATGACAGCAAATCCTGCTGGGAGGTTTCATGCCTTAAAGAGATCTCCTATTTCTTATTTCTGCGTATAACCATAAGTCTGGCTTGCTTCTTGGTCTTTCAGCTTTCCTCACTGAAATGCAAATAGATTCACAACCATGAAGAAGGAACACACAAGAATAGATTATTTGTATCAGAACTAGTGTGATCAGCACACTAAGTCATCCCCCTGTACTCAGCACTGCTGGGGCTACACCTCAAATACTGTGTTTAGTCTTGGGACCCTCAATAAAAGAAAGACATTGAGGTGCTGGGGTGTGTCCAGAGAGGAGAACAAAGCCACTGAAGGTTGTACTCAGGTGGGGGTTGGTCTCTTCCACAGATAACAAGTGATAGAACAAGAGGAAAGGGCCTCAAGTTGTGCCAGGGGAGGCTTAGTGAATATTAGAAAAAATTTCTTCATGGAATGAGTTGTCAAGCATTGGAACAGGCTACCAGGGAAGTGGTTGAGCCACCTTCCCTTGAAGCGTTCAAAATATGCGTGGATGTGGCACTTAGGGACATGGTTTAGTGGTGAACATGGCAGTGTTGGGTTAACAGTGGGACTCAACCGTCCTGGAGGTCTTTTCCAACCTTAAGAATTCTGTGATTCTTTTATTGCCAAAATACATTTTAATGACCCCTCCACTGTGAATAATCACTTGTAGCCGAAGAGTAGACCTGCTTTATGCTTTAGTACCGTGATGGGTTTAGAAAGCTTTTTGCCAGTGCTGTGGGAAAAGGAGGAACTCTCCTGCTTTCTTTCTTAAAGACTGCCAGTCTTACAAGACACCTTGTCCTTCAAATCAGTACAAAAACATCTTCCCAGGACATTGAAGACACACATCCTCAC